CTCTCTCCTGTCTTCTCTTTCTCTCTCTCTTTCTCTCTCTTTCTCTCTCTCTTTTCTCTTTCTTCTTTCTCTCTTTCTCTCTCCTCTTCTCTCTCTCTTCTCTCTCTCTCTCTCTCTCTCTCTCTCTCTCTCTCTCTCTCTCTCTCTCTCTATTCATTCATCATCATTTGTTTTATCTCATTTAACTCACCCCTGACCCTACATTTAAGATACTAAATATTTTGAGGTAAGTAATGAGGTGAACTGTATATGCATTTTATCGGTCTGGAATATGTTAACCCCTTGACTGTCGCAACACCAAATCCTTGGGTGTCTCCTGTGTCGACAAATTAAAAAAAAAAAAATTATTTTATTGAAAATGATAGAGAATTTTTCCAGATTTGTATTGACACCAGGAAGAACCACAATTTGATGGAAAAAACTGACAGAATTTACCCTTCGTGAAGTTAGCGGCTTCGGCGATTATTTAGAATCGGTGTTTCGCCACTGTGAGCCTATTTTCGGACAAATTCCTTTGTTCCAGTCGACCATCATAGCTATTTCTTTAGAACTCAATTTTTTCTATCGACTGAGTACAAAAAACTTGCCCCTTTACCAATTTCAACTACCCTATAAAGTGGTAGAAATTGCAATATGGCCAATACTTCACGAAAATTAAAAAAATATGGGACATTTCATAATAGGGTCCAGAATGAACAATGCAGACTTTCCTGGCTCTAAAAATAACATTTTCTTGTTCATTAGTGATGTCTCCAAGGCCCCTCTGAGATTTACTCTTGGTTTATTATGCAATTTTATTCAAACAAAAAATCGAGGACTTACGTTATGCAGACTAATGCTATATTGTAATAAATTATAAATAATGTCTACCCATTCATGACTGCATATTTAGAATGGCTAGTTGGAATTTATTGGCCCCGCCTCTATATTTACTTTTGAACTTCGGCAAAAATCAAACATTTCCCCTACTTTGAGCTCCATTTCAAGGTTCTTTTCATGGTAAAACCAATGAATATCAACTCTATTTCTATAATATGTGGTCCATCCTATCAAATGAGACCAAGAAAACGAGAATACACCCATAAATACTATACGAAAATAGACAACAAAGTTGGCATTTTAATTAACCCATAAACGGTCCAAACGTGTATATACATTTTTTCAACATTTGATAGTATGTAAAAAAAGTAGATTTTTTTTTTTACATTTGAAACCATGTAAAAACAACTTTGATCTATGCTTTTTTTTTTTTGTTATACAGTGGTCCCTCGTTTTTCGTAATTAATCGGTTCCTGGAGTCGTTACCATAAACGAAATTTACGATTTACGAATCAATTTTCCCCATAAGAAATAATGTAAATACAATTAATCCGTTCCTGACACCCAGAAGTATTAAAACAAAAAATTTTTTTACATGAAATATACATGTAGTACATAAAGAATACAATGGGAAATGATGAATGAAACATTAACAGCATAACACTTACCTATATTGGAGATTCTTCTTAGTGTATGGGAGATGGAGGAGGAGAGAGAGTGGTTTGTTTATAGTTTGGAAGGGAATCCCCTTCCATCAACACCTCCGGTTACCAATTGCTTTTCTGGGGTTGCTTGGTTCTTCTATGTTTTTTAAGCCACTAGGACCACTTGAGAGTCAGTGGAGTCCTGTCTCGCTAAATTAACAGATACTGGAGTATACCCTGGAGAGAGTTTCGGGGGGTTCAACGCCCCCGCGGCCGGTCTGTGACCAGGCTCTCCTAGGGGGATGTTTCTCATAAAGGCTTTCCATCTTAACCCCACATAGATAAAAAATATTTTAATTCTGAAGAGGCACCTTCTTCCATCTCTATTCTCTCCTTCCTCTGCAGCAAGATTCTGAGCTGTGATGTGGTGCTCTTCCTGCTGAAGCTCTTTGCAGCTCCTCAGTGGTGAGGCTCTTCGTTGATGGATCTCCACCAATTCTTCCACATTCCAAACAACATCCAACCCATGGAACTCCCAGTGCCACTATTGATTTTACAAACAGACGTAGGCTCATCAGGTCAGTCCCAAACCCTCAAGATCCCTCTTGTTGACACATTTCTGGGCCACAATTTTATCCAGGCAGAGTTCAAAGTCCTGGTAGTCACTCCCTCCCATGCCATACCTTTAAGGGCTTATTGCAATGGAGGATGCTGAAAGTGTTCACTCAACGAATTCCTTAGGGTCAAGTGAGTTTCTGTGGTCACAGTCAAGCACCTGTGAATAACATTGCTTTTGTGTAGAGTTTTTTTAAAGTTTGCAATGACTTGCTGGGTCCATGGGATGGAGGATGAGGAGTGGTATTCGGGGGCAAGAACTTTCTTCTGATGAACCCAAACTCCTCAAATATTAAGGTCATCCAAGTTTGGAGGATGAGCAGGGCATTGTCCATTACTTGCAGGCAATTGAGGATCCATTCTTTTCCAGAGATACCCTATCAACTAGGGCCAAGATTTCATTGAAACCACTCGACGAAAATTTCCCTCGAGACCCATGCCTTATATTAGATTTCATAACACACAATTTACTCTTCATAACATTGTTTTTCCTGAACACTCTGGGATTTCGGAATGGTACACTACTAGTAATGGCTTCACATTGAAATCCCTATCAGGCATTAACACAGAACCATTAGGTCAGCCTGTCTTTATAGGCTTGTGTCCTGGCATTCCTTTTCCTCTTGTGTAATGAAGGTCCTCTTTGCATTTATTTTTCCAAAAGGAGGCCTCGTTTCGTCACTAATGAACACTTGTATCAGGTTTCAGTCATTCAGCTGAACCTCTATGTACTCCTGGAATTATGCACATAGTTTTTCAGCGCCTTGTGGTCCGAATGCAGCCTCACATGCTTTTAACCCAACTGTGTATGCCAGTACGGTTCTTACATCTCTCAATCCAGCCTTTGCTGGAATTAAATTCACTCACATCACCACTATTTGAGCAATTCTTTACCAAATCTTCATGCAATGCCAGCCTAACCCACACCACCCCCCCCCGAAGTCATAAGAGTATCTCTGCTAATTGTTTCTCATTTATCCACACCAATAATAACTTCTCAACCTCTTCGAGTACTGTGATCTCATTTTTGTCAGCATAGTTACTCCCTTTGCAACAACAGCATCCTTGATTTCCTTTTTCTTGGCCACTATGGAACATAAGGTTGTGTAGGGTTTCTTATACATTCTGGACAGTTCGGCCACACTTGTACCACTTTCATATTGTTCAATGATGGTTTTCTTAAATTCAATCGTATTTCTCACCTTCTTTACCACAGGCTTGGCACTAGGAGCTTTCTTTGGAGCCATGGTAGCTTATTTAGTGCTTGCAAGCACTAAAATAAATGGAATATTATGAAATATTTCGCTGCAGCATGTGAGGGGACCTTCGCTCACTGGTAAACAATGCCAGACTGGCTGCCACCACGGGTCACGCCGTGGGTACGCGTCCTGGACGAACTACGACTCATGAGTCAACCTAAGAAAAGCGAGTCCATGTTTATACGATAATACCCCTATGATTGGCGAATTTTACGATTGCTGAGAACTACGAAAAGCGAGGGACCACTGTATTTGAAAATGTGTAAAAAAAAAACGTAGATCTACTCTTGGAGCACTCCGCATGTAAACGTATATCTGCTTGGACCATTTACGGGTTAAAAAAACTGTCATTTTTTTTTTCTCATTATGCATTGCTTGCTGCAGAATTTTTTTATATGGTGCACACTGACCACACAGATCCATTCTCTCACATATGGGCCTACCAGCTTTCTCCTGCTTGATTTGAAGCCGCTAGAGTTTACAAGTACATATATATACATGTCAAAAACGGTGGCTCGTAAGACCTATATATACGACCAAAACAGTCATGGGGTTAAATGTAATAGAATATTATGTGTTGGTGGGGTGGCCTGGTTTGGTAGCCCAGGTGGCTACCATACATACCACACTTGATTTCTTACAATAAATACTACTTGTCTCACCCTAGATTATGACTAGAAATATTTTAAGGTAAGTAATGAGTGCACTATGTGTGTATTTTGCTTTTTTATTGTTTTTAATGCCTAGTTTTATTGCTAACTTAATATATGTTAGTGTAAACTTGTTATCTAGTATTTGTATGCATTTATAAGGGGAAAAATCGTGTTCCACTTTACGGCGATTTCTACTTTATGGTGGTAGCCTGGAACCTAACCTGCCGAATAAGTGGGGCCCTATTGTACTTGTCTTTTGTTGCTTAATAATTCTTATTCTGTAATATAATAAATATACCTTAACTCTTGAGAAGACTTGACCATAAGGGTAAAGTTATCTGAATCCATTAACTTCTAACAGATTAGTGGATATGAATGAATCTCTTCAATTAATGAAAATTTCTACAGACAAAGAGGATAGGTGTGAGAAATTCTGTCTACTCACTGTCTTGAGATTGAATTATTGCCACAGATATTCATTCTGAATAAAATTTAGATGGTTTTTAAAGAGTGGTTGACAGAAATTTGATGCTGCCTTTATTGCCACCTCCATACTTGACCAAACCAGTCAATTAAAAAAGAAAAAGTCACAGAGTCAATCAGCCTGCCCAACGCTCCAACTCCTCACTTGCCCTTTTTTAACCCCTCATCCTCAGTACCACTAACTGTTGCCACCACCTCTTCACCATTAGCATCACTTATTATTTTTCTCTCATGGAAGACTTCTACTAAATGACCCACATGATTTTTAGTACTTAAATATAATTGTCTTCATAAAGGAGGATTTTGTTCTCACCCTATCAACTTTTCAAATTGTGAAGGTTTTATTAGTAAATGCAGTGTAAACAGTAAACCCCAAATTTTAATATCTGGCAGTTTTTTCTTCAGAATAAAGTACTTTTATGCTATATTTATATTAAAAGAAGAATGGAATGAGAGGATATTTGATCTTCTCTTTAAATACCAGAAACGAATTTCAGCTCATAGACTACTCAGGAATGTTTTCCCAGGGCATATCTTCAGTTTGGACGAACAAGTGGATCATCAAAGAAGGAGAAGCACTTCACAGCCATTCCTGGAGAGTGCCCAATGGCGATGCATGTGGCTCTCAAAATGCGTCAAATACCAAAGATCAGGCAACAACTCATTTTAAATCTGTACAGGTGAGGTGTTTATTTTTGTATGCGTTATTGTACAAAAGGGCGCCGTTTTTTCATTGGTTAGGGTCCTGATCCCTGCTGAAAAGCGAAAATTGCCGGCAAGTTGAAACTAGTTTTTCACTAATGAGTGCATAAAAAAATGCGTGAAATACCAAAGATCAGGCAGCGACTCATTTTTTAAATCTGTTTACACTACAGTGGTACCTCAGTACCTACCATCCGACTTACGACCTGCTCGACATACGACCACTCGACTTACGACCGTGTTTTTTATGCCAAATTTCTGGGAAATAAACAACTATTTGTGTTGTACACAGTGTTTATCCTAAACCTTACTGTGTAAAATACAGTACTAATAGCATAAAAAGTTAAGTAAAACATGAAATACCAAAATAAAACAATAAAATAAAGTCATTACAAAAATGTGGTGTTGATATTCGGTAGTAAAGTTCAACTTATGTCCATTATGACTGACGACCAGTTCCTCAGAACCAAACTCGGTCGTTAGTCGGATGGTACCTGTACATCCTTAACTGCTTGACTTGTCGCAACCCCAAATTCTGAGGTATCTCCTGGTGTCGCAAAATTTGAAAAAAAAAAAAAAAATGATTTTTTCTTTTCCCGATTGTAATGACACCAAAAGAGCCAAATTTGATGGAAAACTGACAGAATTACGCTCTCGCGAACTTAGTGACCTCGGCGATTTCGCCCACTTTGAGCCCTATCTTCGGCTAATTCCATTGTTCCAGTCGACCAAACTCTGCTATTTCTTTAGAACTCCATTTTTTCTATTGATTAAGTACAAGAAACTGCCCATTTAACGATTTCAACTACCCAATAACGTGATCAGAAATTTGCAATGTGGCCAATTTCACAAAAATTAAAAAAATATGACAATTTCGAAATAGGGTCCAGAATGAACAATGCAGACATTCTTGGCTCTAAAATAACATTTTCGTAGTTCATCAGTCATGTCTCCAGGCCCCTCTGATATTACTCTTGCTTTCTATTTTGAATTTCTATTCAAACAAAATATGGAAGATTTACTGTTATGCAGACTACTGCAATATTGTAATAATTGTATAAATAATGTCAACCCATTCATGACTGCATATCAGAATGGTTACTTGGACATTTATTGGAAAATGGCATCATTTGTTTAGTTTTGAACATCGGCAAAAATCAAACATTTCCCCTAATTTGAGCTCCATTTCAAGGTTCTTTTCTTAGTAAAACCAATCAAAATCACCTCTATTTCTATAACATGTTTTCCATTCTATCAAATGAGACCAAGAAAATGAGATTGCCCCCGTAAATACTATATGAAAATAGACCATTTTAATTAAAAAAAAAATGGTCGGAGCTTTTTTTTTCTCATTATGCACTGCGTGCTGCAGGATTTTTTTTATATGGTGCACACTGACCACAGACCCATTCTCTCACATGTGGGCCTACCAGCTTTCTTCTGCTTGATTTGAAGCCGCTAGAATTTTTGAGTATACGTCAAACATGGTTGGTCGTAAGACGTAAGATGCCGAAGCAGGTAAAGGTCCTCCAAGGAGTTTAAACCAAAGCTGGAATGTATTACAAATTTTGCTAGAATTGGGAAAACATTTATCCGTTTCATAAAAGAAATTAAATCTGTTTCATTCTATTACATTTTCATATACACATAGGTGTTGAAAAGCACTTATAAACTGCGACGCTTGGGTTTCTTCCTTTTCTTTCCAGACTTCTTCACTTGTTTAAATCCTCTAAATCAATTTGTTTGTGGCCATAATTCTTCCCGGTATGAGCGTGTTTAAGAGGAAATAAACTGCCGGAGCAAACGGGCTAGTAACCTTTCCCTGTAATCATTTAATTGATAGAACTTTCGTTTTTCCTTTTGTACCCTTCGGTGGGAACTTTGCCTGTGTAAAAAGAAGCAAAGTGTAAAATTGTTTGCTCTAATGTCGTATATATATGACGAAAATTGCAAGGTTAATCCATTCATGATCTTTGACATACAAAGGATGAACAAACAAATTATAAAATTATATGAAAACTATTAATCTGTTTTAATAAAAAACATCCTATGCTATTGTATTAGCAATTATAATTGATGGGGTTGTTGAAACATAATTTAAGCATGCGTACGCTTTGAGGGTCGACACGTACTATCCCAGTCTGCTTGAGTTTTTAATATAGGCTAAAAAATTTCTTTTTGCATCCTACTTTCGAGATAGAACGTCAGGCAGTTTTACTCAATGTAAATGCAACCAACATCGGTTTTCAACTGTCACGCAGGCTTCATATTATTTCTCTATTTTCTAAAATTTTTTATATTTTTTCCAAGTACTTTTATGCCTGGACCAATCGAGCATGTTGTGTAAATTTTTGTCTTCTGTACTGCACAATAATTGCACAAATGTTGTATTATATTGTTACAAAACTTGTTTGCACAAACAAGCATTATAAAATGTTGTTTATTACTATTTTTTTTTGTATTTTTATTACACATGTCGTCACAGGGCATGTTTTTTAGAAGTTCTGCAGCCTGTGGAAATCTTTTAAACATGTTGTCAGCATGGTGGTGTTTTTACCTCTACACGTATAAAATGAGTTTGTTTTTTTTTGAAAATTTTTGGGCTTTTTTTTGGAAAAGGGGCCCCCCCGGCCTCCCCTTTTCCCCCCCCCCCCATACCCCCCCCTTTCCAGAAAGGGCCCCCCTTTTTACCCCAAATTTCCCCGCCCCCCTCAACACCTTTTCCAATTTTCCCGCCCCCCCCCCCCCCCCGCCCCCCCCAAAAATTCAAAAATTTCCCCAACCGCCAAATTCACAGTTTGGCCAAAAAATATTTAAGTTTACCCCCCCGATCCTTACAACCCCCCTCCGACCCCGGAAAATGGCAGCCAGCCCTCCCACCACTGTGTGGTAGTGTTTTGTTTTTTTCCTTATTTGCTAAAAAAATACAGTATAAATAATGAAACCCACCCAAATGACTCCCATATTAAAAAAATGGCTATTCGACAGGTTTTGGGAAAATTTGACATATAGTTTCCCTCTTGAACACAGAAAAGAATCAAATATGGAAAAAATTTACTGTTATGCGGGACTACTGCAATTTTTGTAATTTTTGGGAAAAAATAAGTCAACCCTTTCCCATGCTCATTTTCAAAAGGGGCTTTTTGGCCCATTTTTTGGGAAAAAAGGCATCATTTGTTTAGTTTTGAACATGGCAAAAATCAAAAAATTTCCCCTAATTTGGGGTTTCCATTTCAAGGTTCTTTTTAGAAAAAACCAAATAAAAATCCCCTCTTTTTCTATAAAAATTTTTTTCCCAAATTCAAATCAAATGAGACCAAAAAAATGAGATTGCCCCCCGTAAATAACTATATGAAAAAAGACCTTTTTTAATTTAAAAAAAAAAAAAGGTCGGAGCTTTTTTTTTCTCATTATGCCTGCGTGCTGCAGGTTTTTTTTTATATGGTGCACATGACCACGGGACCCATTCTCTACATTGGGCCCTACCAGCTTTTTTTGGCTTAATTTGAAGCCGCTAAAAATTTTTTGAGTATCCGCCCAAACATGGTGGCTCGAAAGACGTATTTAAAATGACCGAAACAGTCAAAGGGTTAAATTCCATTCCGGGTTTCTTTGACTTATCCAAACGGGATTATAAAAAAAACAAATTACCCCCAAAGAAATATGGGGAAAACCCCAATTTTTTCCGTTCTCAAAAAAGAAAAATTTATTGCTATTGTATTGGCAATTATATATTGGGGGGTTTTGTTAAAAATTAATTTTTTAAGCCCCTGCGTAACATAGATTGAGTGTAAAGGGGATGGTTGAGGCAGTGGTAAAAAGGCATTTAAAGGGGAAGGGGGTGAGGCAGCAGTTGGGGAGGGGGGGGGAGGCAGTGGGTGAGGAAAGTAAAAGGGAGGCAGGGGTGGAGGAAGCAGTTGGGGGCATTTGGTAGGGGCAGTGGGTGAGGCAGTGGTAGAGGAAACCCATTTTGAGGCGTGGTAGAGGCAGGGGGTTTAGGCAGTGGTAAGGCAGTGATATTTACAAAAAATTTTTTTTTTTTTTTTTTTATTATCACCCCGGCCGTTTCCCCCACCAAGGCAGGGGGCCCCGAAAAAGAAAACTTTCCCCAAACATTCCCTCCCATCACTGTCTTGCCAGAAGGGTGCTTTAAAACTAAAAATTTTTTTTTAAACTGCAACATTAAACCCCCCCTCCTTCAGAGTGCGGGCACTGTATTTTTCCCACTCCGGGATCAATTGGCCCCCCCCGGGTTTTCCCCGAACCCCCTTTCATAAATTTAAACCTTTGTCACACCCAAAAGCACCGTCAAGTTTTAAAAAACCCAATTTGTCTCCATTCACTCCTATCAAAAACCCTCCCCGAAATGCCTGCTGGAAGCCAACCCCCTTTCAACCCCAAAACCCCCTTTTTAACCCCCCCCCCAACCCTTCCTGGGCCGCCCCCCTACCCCCCCTTCCTTCCACTACAGACTGTTTACCTCTTAAAAGTAAACTGTTTCGTTTCCAAATTTCTTTTTCCATGTCCAAAACCCCCTCAAAAACCCCTTCCTCACCCTTGGCCAAACAGTTTTGGAAATCCCCCCCTCCTCCTTAACTTCCAAACCTACGAATTCTCTGCATTATATTCACACCAACATTGCCCCCAGGGGCATTTAAATCTTTCCCCTGCCTCCAGCCCCCTTTTCCTCCTGCAACATTCATCACCCCACGGGTTCACACCCATTTAAGAGCGGGTTTGGTTAAAAAAAATACTCTCAAACATTCCCCCTTTTCCTCCAAGGACAAAGTTCTTTTTCTCCACGGGCCCTAAAGGGGACCACTCACTCTTTTTTTCCCCCATCAAATTTTTGATTACCCCTCTTTCATAGACCCAAACCCCTGACAAAAGTCCACTCCCCAAAAATCTGAATACCTTCACCCCTCCATACCCCCTTCCCTCCAATCGATAATTTAATCTTTCATTTACCCAATTTTTTTTTTATCCCCCATAACCTTAAATCTTTTTCCCTTTTT